GACATCCAAAGGGACATACATGTCATTGTTGAGTTCCACATGGACCAAATTATTTGAATAGTAGCACAAAAAACCCACTCCACTCCAGGTGTACATCAGACTCTCAAATTCATGCTTGGTTTCATACCTGGATAGCAACTCAGAGAACCCAAAAACAGCTGAACACCTTCAGATCCCATGAAACTTCATATACAATGCTTTGTGAAATACCACAATGGTGCATAAGGCAATCTGTAAATTCGTGGATGGCAGTTTGGCTGAAGTATATGTAGGAAGATCAAATTATTGACTAGAATAGGTATCGATTTCAGTAAGTATAATGGAGTGCACCATATCACTGATGGTGTAGACAACCAATAATAGTGTTACTGTCTGGTCTCAGTAGACAATGATCCAATTTGGGGCTCTGAATGATGGAATTCACTGTGTATCGTTTAGCACAAAGCTACAGCTGTTGTCACATCAGTCTTGATCTAGAGAAAACCATGTTGATGAGCTTATTCGTGAATTCTATGTTTGTCACTATTGCGAGTTTGTTCATGGGCTCTTTGAAAGTGAAATGGATGGTGACGGGATGAAGTTGATTAGTAAGAAATGGTAACTCTATTTACTTGTTTAATGAAATCTTGTGCTGAGTTCATTTTTTAAAGAGCATTTTTATGGGACATAATTATCTTAATATCTTTTGTCCAGTTGAAGTGTTCTACCCTCTTGTATTTACACCAAACATCCTTCTACTCAATTTTCCAAGTATGCTCCTTCAAAGTCTCTGATACCAATGGTTGAGCTCATGAATCAGTAAACAATCACAATTCTGTGCATTTCTATTTCCAGAAAAATGCATGATCATGAACACTGCTTAAAATTATGATCACTCTGAAGATTACCTTCACGATTCTCCTTCAGAAATGTGACAGAACAGAAACATACTAAAAAGATGCAAATCTCCATTTGTGGCTCATAGCTGCATAGCATGTAAAATCATAGAGATGTCGGCACTAATGGTTCCATGTAAACCATGTTAAGACACTGGAATACAGAATTAATATATAGTTGATGTGGAACAGGAAAACAATAATGCTGGCCCTGACATTTGAAAGAA